AAATTCGAAACTCTCACGACCGCTGAATTCAATGCACTTTACCTTCTTTGCGTACCGTTCAATAAATCGACGTCGGATTTTTCGAGAGAAGGACATTTAAAAACGTTACGTGCAATACGTATGTAGAAATATGTTGTGTTTCTTTTATAAATTATTTAAGAGCAGAATTATACATGTGTATTTCAATGTTCCTCAAATTATCGGAGATTGATTCGCGACATTATTATAATATGGACTTTGCGATTCCGATATTAACGCTGAAAAAAATAAAAATGGCAAAAGATTTTGCGATTAAACAGCAAGAAGGGAGGGATTTTAATGGGATTCGCAATTTCACGGGTATATGGAAAGCCTTTGACTTTCCTTTAACAAGAGCGAGAATTCCGCGATCGTACTCCTGCGGAATATTCTTTGAGAATCGACGTCCTTATTTCGCTCCATCGCCTCGACACGTTCTTGAAAAAGCCGAGAGAATCGCGCGCCTCGCGAGAGGATTAACTGCAATCACAACGCCGGTGATTGTGACGTGACGGGAATGTAATGCAATTACATTCGAGATCGAGTGCGAATTTGAGATTCCTGAGCCGCACAATTCACGTCCCGATCCTCACGTGCCGCGCCTTTTTCCTAGCAACAATGCAGCGTAATAAATAAACTCTTTTAACGAGCCACCGAAATGCACGATGTATCGAAGCTCGGCGCATAATGAATATACGAAACGCCATTCTTTGCAAAGTCTATTTCTACTTCTAACAAAGAAAAAGAAATATTTGCTGAAATATGTTCAAAATTAAATTTACGACATTTGTATAGTAAAGTTGAAGAAAAATGCATTCTGTCAAATTATTAATTAAGTAGATGTTTTTAAATTCTGTATATTATTTTCCATATTTCTCTCGGGATTAAAAGACGAAAGAGAGACGGCTGTGTGACATGTTATTCCCGCGAATTGTGTTAAGTGGGTTAATTTTATTCTATTCTGTGTCGGAGATATGTAACTTCATTCTCGTGGAGATTTGCATTTCTTTGGATACGCCCAACGGATATGTCTAGATTTGCATAAAAGCGCGCGACGCGCGCCCCGCGAAAGTTTCTCTTTTGTCAACATTATAAAAGGCGCTCGTCCGAAATGTAAATTTTTACGATTTATCGACGAGGTAACGACGATTTAGCGACATCGTCGGATATCTTTTGCGCCGTGCGCGTTGCCGTATAATCGATATATACACATATATCGTATGTCGGTCGCGGGAAAAGGGGTAAATACTGAAAAATCACCCTTTCATGTCTTCCGCACGTGCGCGCATGGCTCTGTAGCTTCAAGAGGAAACGGTGGAATGATAATCAAAATATATTACGCCACCTTTCACCTTTATCGGGACACTTGGTTATCATTGGCCGCGCCACCCGAAAATTATCCTTCCCGCGATGACAGTACCTCGATAAATTCGTTCTGCAAGCCGCCCGAATTCTAAACATCCTTGCGCATCCCACGCAATGCAAGTTTTATGTATCAACTATATGGGTGGTATACGTTATATATATGAGAGAATCACCGTTTTAATATTTCAACCGCGTGTCTTAACTAGAACATGCGATTTTTAATTTAGAATGTTTAAAATTTACTCCAGGAAATATATACTGTTATATATGCGCTTCTAGATTTATTTTATACTTATTTCAGCAAAGCGTATATTTTATTTTTACTTCGACAAATTATATAATATATGCTATGTATAGATTTGTTTTTATTTTGCATCTCTCGTAATTTTATTTCTTTATATTTTTAATTTTAATTTCTTATTTAATTTTTATCAAGTTTTAAAGTTATCAAGTTTTTAATTTTATTTTTTTACTTAATTTTTATCGAGCTTCTAATTTTATATTTATATATATATATATATATATATATATATATATATGTGTGTGTCTAAAAAATGCTGTTTTTTTTAAATTACTTCAATAATTTATGTTTTTATATTTAATCTAAATTTATTAATTAATAAATTAATTTATATTTAATCTATGTTAAAGATAATAAAAATTATTACCATCTTGCTCTTATTCCATATACAATTTTTCATGGAAACGTGAAAGATTCGTCATGCGTTAGCCTGATGCCAAGATGGACTCGATTTCTTTTTTTCCCGGAGAGAAAATTTTGAAATCTCTTTTTTCATGTTTCCATCTTAGCATCATCAGGCTAACGCACGACGAACTTTGCTTCTTATAACTATTCCACTTTAATGCAAACTCCAATAGTTACGGAAACACATACGTATACTATAATCGAGTATAGGAGGAAAGTTATAGCGGTCGCGTAGGACAGGGGATGAAGCGAGGGGAAGGAGGAGGGTGGTATGTCGACTGAATGAAGTCGGCTTCAGGTGTTCAGCCGCAGTATTGATCGGTCCACCCTCGTACATGACGGGACACACGACACAACCATCACACATCCCCAAAGCCACCTACCACCCGCTTCTCTAGCGCGACCCCCCCAGGAATGTCCGCCGAGGGCGACTTCCAACCCCCGTCCTCCCCCGCTGGAGAGGCAAACGGAGCCTTTCTCAGTGTCAAGGTTGAATCGAGCCGTCAGGCGAAACGATTGTGGGCGAAGGTGAAGAATTAGGGGAGACATTGTGTGACACGAAGTATTAAGCTTGTCGAAGAAGAGAGACTCTTTTTTCGCAGAAAATGACTCAATCTCGAGGTCTTGTTGTACAAATGGCGGTGGAGAGAGAAACGACAGAAATTTAATTCCGAAGCAAATGGAGCTGTTCAGCGATCCTTGTATCTAAGTGTAATACTGACAGTTATAAAATACATGATAATTTTTAGAGAGCTATTATATTATATAAATAAAATGACTATTTTAATTAAAATATTATATAAATGCTACAGTCGCATTTTATAAAAATAACATAAATTGAAAGTAATATGAAAAGTTACACATGTATCGAAATATATGTCTTATGATATATAACTAGCAATTAATCTAATTTTCCGAGTAATAAATTCTACTTTACGCAAATTAATATAATTAGACTAATAAAAATTAATCTAATATTTTATTTAAATTTTTACATTTTATTTAATATTTGGAGAAGTTAATATTACAAACTTTGACAAATTCGAGTTTTACCTAATTATTAAAAAAAATTTATTTGAGATAATTAAATTTCTTTATATATCTATCGATAAATATATTTTGAGATTAATTAATTTATTCTAAATGTTGAAAGACTTTCTCTCAAAATTTTGCGAAGAATTTTTAAATATAGAATGAAGCATTTAAATTATCTGACCTATTATCAGTGATAATCTCCGGTGGCCTTCTTCCGGCGATAAAGGAAGACTTCCTGAAGCCATTAAGAACGTTAGAGCGGGTTTGTCCCAGAAAATGATGCCATTACCGCGGCCGCAACGCGACGGCAGGTCTCACGTTAAAGATGCTATCTAGAAACGTTAGACGGTCACGACAAGGAAGTTTCTAACTCCGCGATAGATTTAATTGTCTTTGTTGTTCCCGTCTCTTGTGGGAATCGATAATATAATCGGTTCGCGTCACGACAGCCCGATGACAATAGTGGAAAAAACGCGATCGATCGCGTTGTAAAAATAAATCGCGAATATTCGTGTACTACTTCGTGGACACACGACGTGGCCGTTTGGAAAACATTCGAATAAACATCCTCAAGATGTCTAAAAAAAAAATTCTAACTATATCACTCTCTCGTCTTTAGATTAGAAATTTTTAATTACAATTTTTTTTTATTTTGAGAAGAAATTTTGACGTATGATGTTTTATATAATTTTCAGATGTTTATCCGCAAATTTAAAATAATTTCTAGATCGATGATTAATTATATAACAAATATAAGCGTTTAATGTTTATTCTAATTTATAATTTCGCTCTGTGTTATATCATTATTATAATTAATTAAAAATTCAATAAAAAATTAGCATGGAAACAATTATTGTTTTAGAATATTTAAAAGTATAAGAAAAAAATTCGCAGTTTTACAGAAAATTGCATTAAAAATTCAAACAATATATGGATTTTTTTTAAATTAAATTTTTGTAGAAGCTGATCTCTCTCGCAGTTTTTAAATAAATTTGAAATAAAAACGTGCAAGTGACTTTTCTGACTATTATTTTATGCGAGAAAATTTGTAAACTAGGCCTTCCGCTGGTATATCAATTGAGCGAGAAACTTTTGCTTGACGAAGAGCGGCTTTCGCGAGGGAGGTCTACGTAATAAAATTTTCAGTCGCTAATGTGGCATTTGAATGTCGAGGCGGTTTCTTTGCTAACACGAAAATGTCTTCCGGGAGTCCGCGGTGTCTCTTGATTTATTTACGAGAATCTCGATCGATCTGACCAGAATTTTTGAAATTCAGGCCGCGGCTTTTACGTTTAAACCACTTCCAGCGTTTGAATCATAAAATATCATGGTTATAAATGTAAAAGCATGTAAAATACTTATCTTAAAGTTTAGAAATCATCTAGTATTTTTGAATGCTGGATTCTAAAGTGAAAATTTCTATATTCAATAATTTTATATTTGAAAGTTTATTTTTGGTGTATTATAACTTAATTTCTGTCAGAAAATTTTTTTAAAAAGATTTTTTAAATTATTTTCTTTTTTCTTCTTTTTTCTTATTAATTTTCTCATTATATCTTTTATTAATATATAAATCTAAAAATTTTAACAATATTTCCGGACAAAATTATATATTATTTTAAGAGCAAATATAATTAAATTAAATAAATTGTTTCCACTAAAATAACTTAATTAAATCAAAATATAAAATCTACTGCACGTTATATTTCAAAATATTATTTCCGAACAAGACCAATTTAGAAACAACTTGAAAAAGTCCTCAAAAAGTCTTCTCCATTTCCTTGAAACTTCCCCCATTACTAAACACGCGCGTGATTTTTTCTGTTCTCCTTCATTTCACATTAATTAATAATCGGAATCGCGCGATGGCTGACAGGTGTGACCGAAGGAGGACCGATCGCCAGCCGAGGAGGCATGGCTAGCAGCACGGAAGACTACGGTTCCGAGCTGCAGGAGTTGCAGTGGGGAGGCGGTGGTACCACTACTAGTAGCGGTGCCTCGCACTTTCTGCGCGGGGGCGGCGGTGGTTCTCACTACCTGCGGAGCGGCACCGGTAGCTGCTACGAGGCCGAGGACCTCGAGTCCAGCCCCGCCGGCCGTCATCATGGCGGTCAGCATCGCGGCTACTACAGTCCACCCGGTACCAGCTACACCATCGTCGAGAGGCCGCCCAGCGCGCCCCATCATCACTCGTCGCATGCCACCCCCTACAGATCCCATCGGGGTCACGGAACTGCCGGAGGCGGCGGCGGCGGCGGCGGCGGCGGCGGCGGCGGCGGCGGCACCGGTGCCATTTCCCCGGAACAGGTGCTCAGGTACGATAAATAGGCTTCCGAAGCCGATGACGTTCAATGACGTATCGAAATTGAATTATATCAATGATTTTCAAGCCAAGATTCATGTGCGCTTAGCACGATATTGTGTTCTCGCAATTTGAGCTGTGCAATTCATTTTCTGAAATTTTGCGAAATTTAAATATTTTAATATCAATATTAATATTAATTTAATATTAATAAAATTTGCGATTTAAATAATTTATACAATATAATTGAGAGTATTTTAAGACGATGAACTTTATAAGCAATATTCTTTATAGAATAAAAATGTTTGCTTTATATAATAAATTCGTTAATATCACGGGTTTATCCAAGTTATCGATGACATGTACGTGTAAATTAAATAATGAAGAATAATATAAATTTTCGATCTCTTGCAGATTGTTCGGTAATAGCGTCTCGGAACGACGTCAGGGCGATCGTAGGTCCCCGGCGTCCAGTCCGGCGAGCGTGACGGCCGCACGAGGCACGCCGATTATTTCCGGTGGCTCGCAGCAACAGCAACAGCAATCCCAGCAATCGCAACAGCAGCAACAGCAGCAAACTAATGCCGGGAATCCGCCCACGTCTCCCATCGCGCAGCCGCTCAGCCTGCAGGAGCTCACCGTAAGGACAATCACCATGACGAGAGATCCGCCGGACTCTCACCATGGCTTTGGCATCTGCGTGAAGGGTGGCAAGGACGCAGGTGAGATCCGAAGTACCTTCAGGCTACCCCCGTCGCCGTACTTCGTGCCTCGAGAACGAGGTACTTTCTCCCAGCAGCGGGTTAAACTCTCTATTCTCATTAGTTCTCGGCACTTGTCAGATTTACATAAGTCAAGTCAAGCCTCACGTTTCAAGCCGTCGCGTACGTCGAATGCTGCTATTATGCTCCGTACGAGTCGTCTGGTCGTCCCGCCGCCCGGTTCCTCGGGTCGTCTAACTGTAAATCAGTCGGGTCGGCGCTTCCTCTCGTTCCGCTCGACACAAGCTCGTTTCGGAATCGGAAATTTGTCCGACCGAATATACATTTGCCGTCGTATGTTCCAATTTGCTTTTCGCGCGATAAATCGTATATATCTCTATAGTTTTATAGATTTGTAGTAATAAAAATGCTTGATATCATAAATTTTTATCAAATTTTTATTGAGGTCTAAACGAAAAAGGATGAACTTTATACCGAACATCAGGAATAAATCTATCATTTTCAGTTTTTACAGCAGTATTTCCGTTAATGTAAAAGTTGTATATATTTTTAGATGAAGAGCTTTAGGTAAAAAACTACGATACCGTACATCCCAGTAGAATAAAAAAATCAACGGTCCGTCAAGTAATAATTCAGCTATTAATTTATACAATCGTTAGACTCTACGCTTCCTTTCCCCATGCTTAATATTTGATATTAAAATTCCGCGAGCGGTATACCAGATGACTCGCTTGTCACTTATCGCTGGCAACTTGTATCTTTGATTACTGTTTCTTTTTCGTGCCTAAGTCACCTCGGTTGGCACTCATATCGTGTCTCGACACCTTGCGCTTATACGTGCTTCAACATAAATTGGCGAACCGTCCTCGTCCTCGCGACGGAATATAATTAGCATAAAAATATTATCTTATCATTTGCATTATTCGCGATAGCGAATATACTTAAATAAGGAAACAATATTAGATATATTTTTAGCATTTATACAGCATATCTAAATTTGTCATATACATATATTGTCACACGCTTCTCAAAGAAACATACATTAACATAAATTAATATATAATATCATCATGATTACTTTTATATTTAATTTAATTTTTTATATTTTACTCTTATATTTTATATTTAATTACATTATATTGTATTATATAGAAAAGTAATTTTGTTAATTTACTTCGCGTTGTTTCTTTAAATCAAATACTATATCATTAAATTTATGAAATAATAGTTAAATTTAGGAGCAGTCACTTTAATCCGAAAATAATTATTACTGTTATTACTATTATTACTATTATTACTGTTTATTTTACATAGATAACTGTTCTAAATATTCATCCATATTTGTAATACATACAAAGTCTAATTAAAATTTATACGTTTAATTAACATCCATAGTAGAAAATGGATTTTCTCGTCGCGAGGAGGACGATACTCGAAAGTGCAGGGAAACATTTTCACGATCGTTAAGCATCGTTTTCCGTTGTAATGACGATTGTTTGCACGCAAACTCGATAGAAAAAGAAAAAGCGCGTTTTGCACAGATCTCTTCCATTTCCTTATTTTTTTTTCTCCCTTTGCGGAGATGGAACTCCGGTCAGAACTCCGGTTTGCCATTCGATAGTTGACGTGATAATGAGTTATCGATCTATCGAAATGTGTTGCGAACCTCCAACGACCGGAGTTCATCGTTTTACCTAATCTTTCTGGAAATTCTATTGTCGAAAAAAATAAAAAGTTTGTACATTGATTGAACAACTGTTCTTTATCGCTGTAATTTATCAATTAATTCTTTTTATTCTACGTCTTTTCATTTCGTATACATAATTTTTGAAAGTATGATAATAATAGAGAAAGAGAGAAATATATATGATCAATTAAAAAGAAATAAATTTTTACAATTCCTAAAAAGGTGCAAAATACTTTAACAAAATATGAAAAGTAGTTATTACAGCATTAAAATTGTCATTTTTACATTTGTAAAAAGAAGTTATTAAGAAAAAAAGTTTTCATTTTTTTAGTTGAAGTATTTAAATATTCAATTCAAATATGATTGACTTAAATATTTAAATATTTCAATTAAAGAAATGATAACTAATTAAACACTTATTTCTTCAATATACAAAAATGATGTCTTTTTGACTGTATATTTTTAAATATATTCTCTCTAAAATTTTAATACATTTGAAAGTTATATATTTCGCAAGTTATATGTTTTTGAACACGTGTTTTCTAGAAAGATTTTCTCAATTGATAAATGAGAAGGATCTGCATGAAGCAAAAATGCGAGAGTGCCGCCTTAAAATCGTTAAAATAACAAAAGCGACAAGATCCGGTTTCACGGTCCACAGCCTTTTAATCCTCGCAGTCTCAAAAATAAATCAAACCGTCACACACACAGACACGTACAAACACAATGCAATAATCTAAAAATATTAAACTAGTTTATACACGTATTTTTTTATCGATCATCTGCAAACAAATATTTCTTGATATTAGAAATAAATGTTATATTTTTCATTCTATCGCAAACTTACGTAATATACATATTAAGAATGTTTTCTTTTTTATTATTTTGAACTTTTAAAAAAATTCAAAGAAATTAGAAAACTATCGTGTTATAAAAAAACGCAAAATAAGGTGCAATGAATCTCCAACTTTATCCGTTATATTAATGTTACTAGCGAGACTGTGAGTGTTAAATCTCATGCTTAATCACGCACGCAATGTTGCACAGATGCGCGCTGCGAAATCACTGCTTGACAAGCTTCATCATCGCCAAGAAATCGAGCGTGAAACCACAAATCCGAAAAGGCGGTTCTCAAGACAGAGCATTTTTGCCTCTTGCGTGGATCGTGATACTAAAATCCGTTTCAGACGATGCTGAAATTCCCAGAGAATCGTCGATCTCTTCTTTTCGCATTGATATTTGATTTTATTGTTTCGAGTGTAAAGATCTCTATAGGTAAGATAAAAAGAGAACTTTAAATATAATAACATTTAATAATTATTCTCTTTAACAAATTTATCTAGAAATTGTAGCTTTATTTGAAACATAAAAGCTGTTAAAATTAATTTAATTCACAATTTGCTTTGTTTTAAATATATATACTTGGCGCAAATATTATACATTTATATTTATATGAAACTAGATGCTCTCGAATAATTTATATAAATATTTATATATTTATATATAAGCTTATTACCATTTATAGTATTATTAATAATATTATTACTAAAATGCTTCGTAAACTAGCGCGAGCTTTATAATTCGAGTCTAATCAAATTATTTCCGCAATAATGCTTCGTGGAAAGCTTATTGAACTCGATGCAAGTCTTCTGGGGATTTCACCATCGTCCGCGACCGAGCGGCTGAGAGAATAAGCCAACTTGCGTTGTGTCATTCTTATTTTCTGTTTCGCTGTACCAGAAGCGCAGTCAGGTAATTCAACGAGAGAAAGGAGGGTTTATAACGCATATAACGCACTACACGAGTATCTGTCAGAAAGCTACTTCCTCTCTCTAGACGTCTCTCTGGCACAATTCGTTGCATGAATGTACAATGTATATGCGTATTGTGTATAAGTGCGTAGAGAGAATTTAATCGTTTGTACTAGTCAAAAATATATGCTAAAAATAAAAATAGTAAAATTTTTCCTGTAATTTTTAAATTTGAATATAATCATATGATTTTTTTCTAAAAATAATTTTTCTGTACAATGTGTTTTTTTTTTGTCAATCTTTTCTATTCTAAAATTTAAATCAAGATTTAATCACTGACATATTTAACCGAAAATTAGAGAAAATATCTCCAAACGCAAAAAGCTTATCAAAATTTTTTAACAATTTATTATAAGATATTTGACGATATGAAAAGTAATATGTGCAAACTATTTTCATATCGACATCAAATTTGCTCTCTCATCGCTCACAAAATTATGTCAGTTTTGATAAACTTGATGAAGATGATAATTCGCACATAAACACATAATAAACGATGCCGCATGAACTGCATAAATGCGGTACAAGCGTACTATTCGATGTCTCATCACGTTTCAGCTCTTGCTTCGACACAAATTCTATCATCACACGCACACACATCATGTTTTATTGTAAAGCCAGGAGCACACTTTCGGAAAAGAATTTTAAATAGTCGCAATAATTCAAGAAAGTAAAAACCTAAATTGATAGATTAAATCTTGCCAGAGAAAGTTCTTCAAAAGGAGCGACGTTATTTTAGTATAGTTGAAATTAAAATCATGTTAAAAAGAGAGTTCCTATTTTTAAAAAAATTTTCCAAATTCCACTATTTTGTCTAAATGGAGAAATTTCAAATTGTTTCAAGTAATATTGAAATTGTCAGCTTGGAAATCTTCGATTTCCAAATGAATATTTGAAAAGGCGTAAAAAAGATGGTAAAAGTATTTTTACAATTTTTATCAAGTATAAATCGGGAAAAAGCGGTCCGGAAAATTATTAGGAAATATTATAATCGTGGTTTTAATATTTACAATATTACGACAGATTTTATAATTATCTTGTGCTAAGATAATATATTCAGATTGATAACTGAAAAGAAATCAAAATCAATTGAACTCGACAGAAAAATCTCGTTTTTGTTTTACGCCATAAAAGCATTTTTTTATTAAATCGCTTATGAATTTTAATCCTAGCGCATGGATTTTGTTCAAAAATTCATGAAAAATCTACTTTGGCTTCCATCAGCCGTCATAGATTATCATTTTTTCATTTTATGGAATAAAGAAAGTACAATGCGTACATCAAATACATACACATATACATACATACATACATATTGTAAGTGCATAACGTAAGCATGATGCACATCATGCAATGCAATTAACGTTTTCTCTTTGAAAGATTTATATGCATGTCTTTCTTTCTCTATCAAGCGAACACACGCGTGCATCGTGTCGCACAGAAATGCACACCGTTTTCTCGTATTCACTTCACTCTGATGCATCTGCGTACTTTTTTCTTCTTCTTATTTTCACAATATTTCTGCCCATGGCGTTTATCGTATCCGTTTCAACAAGTATATCGGAAGTTTGCCAGCTTTGCCAGAAAGTCAACTTTTTTACAAAATAACAGGTCAAGTCAACAGGTCCTTTGGCATTGCCAGATGCACTATCTTCTATTATAATAAAAACAATAATTTATTGCTTCGAGAGAAATTATATTTGTTGCATAAAAAAAAAGTTTTGCATCAGTATATATTTTTATACAAATTTAAAACACATGATCTTGGTACATTTTTAAAAATATTTTATCCGCTACTTTTAGCCGCATTAATTTATTATAATTCTGATTTATTATATAATTCAATTATTTATTATAATTCGAATAAAAAAGTTACATATTTTTCAACACAAGAAATCTTGTTTCTTAATAATTTTTTTATAAAAATAATATAATTCTCTCTCTTAAAATTGGACACTTTATTACATTAAAATTTATTCGCATTGTCGGAAAAACTGTGCACTTTTTCATTAAAAGTAGAAAGTCCCTTTCGTGTTAGCTGAATTTATCCGCGAGATTCACTCGGGCGATTTGTCGCGTCATGGGTGGAAGATTTTAATTGGCACCGATCGCCGGAACAGCGGCGAGGCAGCTTACCGGCCTGATGGAAAGTCTGCCAATTGTTCTCAGGGGTGGGTGTCTATATTTCGAGAGTGGAGGAGGGTTCGGTGGCCGAACGAGCTGGACTCAGGCCAGGAGACACGATCTTGGAGGTTAATGGCACACCCTTCCGCGCAGTCACCCACGAGGAGGCCCTTAAAGTAAGTCTACGATTTTTATTTCACACTATCATTCTTTTCGATCAACTTTCCTAATCATCTATTCTTCCCCTCCTTTACATTTACTATTTTCTAATTCTGACAGTTTCGATAACGCTTGCCGTTTTTAAATCCTTTGTTAATTCAAAGGGATATGAATGAGAAGATAATACAAGTTCGTGGTGTATTGTTATTTTTTATAATTCCATTTTTTTCTTTTTCACCTATTCAGTTAATCTTCTCTTTATTTGCTTTAAATTAATATATTCTTCTTAAAATTTATTGTTTAATATTGAAAATTGTAAATTTACAAATTTGTTTACAAAATAGATATATAATAGTCTCCATCTTAGCATATTAATTCTCACAATATATGTATTTCAAGTCTGATTTCCTAAATTAATACATTACTCCAAATATTCTTGAAATGTATAATTTATAGTTTAATAAATAATTCCACTCCAAACACAAGCTAAAATTAATTAAAGATAGAATAAATTTTAAAAGCTTTGTTTCTCAATCATCTCATTTAAATTCATGAGTGTTTTAACGTTTGCCATTTCAGTAAATGATAATTAGAGACTTTTTGCCGAAATAAAAGGGAAAACAAAAGCAATAAAAGCCGTTTCAATTAAGGGTTTCTAAATCCCCTTTTCTCCAAGTAATCGTGCGAATGTAGCTTGTATTTATGACCGACCTTAAGAATCGACTCATCGATTCTCATTCTAAGTCTGGCTCTCAAACGGATTAGAAGAACTGGGGAGAAACGTAGTCAAATAATTCTAAATCCGCGCGCAAATAACCGAAGGACAGATCGCTCTCAACCATTTCTTACTCTTATTTCTTTTGCCATCAGTGCTTTCATTATTGTTTGGAAACTTATCCATTTTTGTAACGTCTATTTTTTATAATTATCATTAATTGATGAAACAAATAAGCATACACCGAAAAAATTGCAGTAAAATCTTGCTAAAATCCATCTTGAATTTTACTACGAAATTTTAAATTTTTACACATAAAAAGTTTTTATATATCAAGTGTCAAAGAGACATGGTTTTTTTCAAAGTACTCTACATTTTGCGTGAAGTATGTGCGATTTTTCAAGTTTTGACATGAGTTGTTGCGAATCTTTCATACTGGAGTATCGTCAAAGAGCACCCTTTGATCTATAGGGTAAACGGCTCAAAGGAATAGCATTGTTACCCTCAGTTAAAATGCTTGACATTCATAAGTGGCAAACACTAAGTAGAGATATTCGCGCATATAAAGTTAAGCTAAAATTTACTTTCTCTTTCTCTCTCGTGTTAATATAGATGATAAGATTAAAGAAGCGAGAAATATCCCATATAAAATCTAAATTCAAAATTAGGTAGCTTTAAACTCTTAGAGCTAATTTGAAATTAAGCTTCAAAATCTCGAGAAAGTTCCCAACTTAAATTAATGTTATAATGAGGCGCGCGCAGATTATTTTACGTCAAATTTTTAGATTGATGAAACGATGAATAATTTTAAACTACATAAAAATATCGACGAAACATAAAAATTGAAGTTAAGACATTATTATTCGTATAAATTTGTCTTAAGACAAAATTAAAAACCTGGAAATTTTTAACGAGACATACAACCTTTCAATTAAAAAAAATCTTTGATAAATCTCACATTTATTTTGATTGAAATACCGACGCCCATTATTCTCGATAGTCTTTGTTTTAAGCCACAGCAGGAATAGTGGAATCGTTTATATCAGAGAGATTACTCGCGGTAATTCCTTCCACACGAATGACTCGCCTCGTAACGGTTCTCTTCAATCCTTCGTGTACCAATGATTGCTACGCGTTTGTACTCGCTTGTATCAAAACGATGATTGAAAACGAGATAATTCGTCTTATCGAGATTTCAATTCATTCCATTCATTTCAATTAATAAAATTTAACTTTGTTTATTTTTTGCATTTTATTTATTTATCAATTTTAATCATTTTTATTTTTAGAAAAATATACCCTGGATATCAAAATTTGAAGAAATTTGTATTTCACATTTAGTTGTATAAAAATTAATTTCATAAAATTAATAATTTTTTTTAAATGTTTGTAATCAAATATAAGTTGTAGCAGGAATTTTATAAATTCTCTTTTTATTTTAAAAATATATTCTTATATATATTTACCTTTTATTTATATTTTATATTAAATATTTTTCCATTTAATTCTATTTTCCTATTTACATAAAACTTTGGACTTTGTTTTATTGTTTGCGTGGTACGATTTTTACGCGGCGGAAATCGATCGATACACGCATAGAATGAAAGCCAGAATATAGGTCGAGTTCTTGGGTCGAAGATATTCCAGAAAAATTGCTATTATAGGAGGGTGAGCGAATGGGTAGTGGTGATCTATATCCACTCCTGTGATTACCCTTCCTCACATCTTTCTACGATCCATTTCTACAGAGCTCCATCGATCGACTGTATACCCTCGGTTGTGTAAACTTTATATGTCACTTAAAAATATTTAGTAAGTTCATTCTTAACTTCTTCCCCTCTTTCCTTTTTTCCTCTCTGTAATTTATTCCGCCTGACATATGTGCTATTTATCGAATTTTCATCATGACTGTCATTATCGTAATTTCTACAAAAACGTCTTATTCAATTATTATACCAAATTAATTTTACATTAGATGAAATAATAAAGATATTTCACGTTCAAATTTGCGTCATATTTAGAAAAATAATAATAAAATAATAAAAATATACATACAAATATCTCACAGTTTATAATATTAATAGAAAAATATTTTCCTTGATTTTATTAATTATTATTCAAAATTTATTGGATGGAAATATTATTTTTCAAATAAATCTTAATATATATCTGTTATTTGTTATATATACATATATATCTGAGTCCTATAAAACTTTACTAATTTTTTCGATAGTTTAATATTTCAAAAATAAAACAGCGCAATCAAATGAATTATTACTTTAATTATTTCATCCTGTCGACGTCACAACTTTATCGATATTTCATTGATTCAAATTCGTTTATGTCAATTTTGCGAAATTTAATAAATTTTCCAGACTATTTGCGTGATCTTTTTATTCAATAAAATATTTCACATTTTCGCGACAACTAGATATTTAATATATTCACTTGATGTATAAAAGTGATCTCTATATTTCGCAAATTGATTCAGATTTAAAGTATATTTTCTCATATCTGAAGTTATGGATAATATTTGCTTACAATTTATAGAGAGTTTCATTGTCAATTTTGTATATTATATTTATTTTCCATCAATTTAACTTTTCAATCGTTCGATTTGATCTGACTTTTAATATCGCGAGACTCGATTTGCAGAAGAGCGATACGTGATCCTTTCGAGATATCGATCAACATAAACAGAATCAAATTACCGTGTATCCACCCTCGTGAGAGGCTGTAAAGGATAACGATGGCGGCGAGACTCGTTATCTTGTAATGGCTCGTCGAGATGCTCGCAAGGAGACGCATGCTAGCTAAGCAAATAACACGTTCGAGGGTGGCTTTTTTCCGCCCCTTGCCCCTTTGAATCATGACGATGACGACGATGACAAAGACGACGACGAGGACAACGACGACATGGCGGCGCCAGGCGTCCCGGCGCCCTCCGGCTAACTCCCCCGTCTCATTTATTCTCTTTACATAATACGCGAAGCTTCCGAATGCTGTTGCTCTTCTTCAAAAGGAAAAAAGAATGATGGATAATCGAACGCTATTTTTTGTTTAGAAATTTTTAATCACGCAGAAATTTGTTAAAGTGAGAATTCATAATATTATGCACGCGTGACTGCCGATTAATATAAATATTATTTAATATGAATTATTGAATATTAGTATTATTATTTAATATAAATTTAATTATTTAATATAAATATTAAAACATAAATATATAAATTTTCCTCATTAAAATTTTAAAATTGAGAGAGAATCTCCACAGTAATGATATTCTAAGGTATTATTTTTTTAATCAAATATAAAAGGAGAAACTTTCGTAAACTTTATCTAGAAAAGCTACTCTAGAACGTCGGAAACTATAACTTTTATCATTGACTACGCGAGGAGACACGCAATCGGGGTCGATTCGACTGACCCAGAAAGCTCAGATCTTATCGGAGAAAACGATCGGAACGATGTATATCAGATAGCGCCATATAACTTCCGGACCGGTCATAGATAGTTGCTTACTGCCGGTTGAAAATATGGCTGTGTACGGACATCGGAAATAGTAAGTGTCAAACTTTGAGAACGACAACAATAGTTTCAAGTCTGTCTCACCAAACGATCCGTTTCTTCTCTTCTCATAAATTATTTAGTCATTCCGAACAGAAATGGAATGGCCGATCACGGCATCGCTGAACGATTTATCTATGTGTTTTTTGATTGTTTATCTAATATTAATTTTCCCATTTATATCTAACGCCATGATAAGAGATTATCGTGAGTCAGACTGATATGAAATTTCCAAATTATAGATTCTTACAATTAATCGCCGATATAAAAGAAAAATTAATTTTTAACAAAAGTTAAATCATGTAGATATAAAAGATCATAAACTTAAATTGTTGGTAAAAGATAATTAAAAGTATAAGAAGATAAAGATTAATCTGTATCTTAAAATTAATCAATATATTAATCATTTATTAAATTATATTTAATTTAATGTAGAAAGAAATTAAGAATATTCTTTATAAGCAGAAAAAAACCAAAATAAAAAACTAAAATATTAATACGAGTATTTATATAAGGATTTCTTGTATATATTAATCAAAAGAAAAAATTAAATAAAAATAAATAAAAATTTAAAACATCGAAATAAAAAAAAACTCACGAACTGATAATATAGAATTGTCAAATAAACTAAAGTATTTCAAGCTTAAAGATCTGATTTTAGAAGAACTAATAAAATTTACTATACTAAGAAAGACAAATAGAGCTTTGTAAATTCCGTTTTAGAACGTCTTTCGTATGTAAAATAGCATATCTAATTTACATAACAATACAGAGAACACAAAGCTGGATGGTGGAACAGACAGAGACAGTTTATGACATTTCCAGAAACGCATTCGCGGTAGGGAAACGCATTTACGAAATGCGATTCCATCGGACGCATCGTCGCAAAAATGAAATGACATTTTTATATTTCCTTGGCATCCGATGTTGTACAAGTACGAGCGGAAAACAATGACTTCTTTCCGGCGGAAGATTTTCCGCGTGCTCTCCAGGGAAGACGCACTTCGCGAGAGGTCGCCGGGAGCGACGAGATGCTGCGAGAGATTCGCATCTTGCGAAACCGCGAGAGATCCTAAAAGACGTGATCCGGGTTGGGTCAAGGATAGAGTAGGATGTGACGTCACAGGCTCTGCCCGAAGGATCGATATCCTGCTAACTGCCGAGTGGCGTCATCGACGCGAAACGCGTTTGTCACTCTCGTTTCTCGTCAATATTATTTACCTCACCCGTATAAAGCCAGCATTTTAAAAATCTCCTCACTCCCCCGCTTTTCATCAACTCTCGCGCATTATCGTGAGAAATCGAAAAAATGTCAAGCTTTTTACAAAAATAATATAATACATTATAGTCAAAAATATTTTGCAAAGTTTTAAAAATCATATGGTACAAATCTTGATATTCTATATTATTTTTCGCGTTTCAACAGATGCTGAAGGCCTGTAGGACCTTGAGCATGACGGTGCGAGGGCCAGCACTGGACCCCCGTTGCCGGGGCGGTCACCCTGTCTGGTCATCGTCAGGTCGACAGCAGTCTTGCAGCTGGATGGACCGCCAAGGTCGCCCGGCGTCCCCGCCACCCCTTCATCCGCCCCGCGATTCCCGCTACGGCCCGAGGACGCGAAAGGTCGAATTGTGTATCGAACCCGGCCAGTCCCTGGGCCTGATGATCCGGGGTGGCCTCGAATACGGCCTCGGAATTTACGTCACGGGCGTCGACAAGGACAGTGTCGCCGATCGCGCCGGCCTCCTCGTGAGAATCACGCTTTTCTACTAGATTTAATCATCCATGATCCTGGGAATAGGATTAGGAGATAGGATTAGGAGATTTTAGAGCAATTCGTAATGCCTATATAATTTATCTTCACGTCAAACAGATGAAAGATAATTATACCAGTCAAATAAATTTAAAGGTTAAAATATAGATTTAAATTTAATCGAGGATTATCAATTAATCGGGATTCTTAAATAAATGATTATTGAAAGAAAAGGACTATTGGAGAGATTTCTTCCTGATAAAATTATAGTTAACATTTTTAATAATTTAAAGATATTTTTGCTTATTATTTAAGAATTTCAATATTCCTATGTTGAATTTTAATCTCAATATAACATCTTTTGAATAATCATAGGTGGGCGATCAAATCATCGAAGTAAATGGGCAAAATTTCGAGGAAGCCACGCATGACGAAGCTGTTCAGATATTGAAGACTAACAAAAGGATGAGTCTATTGATACGCGATGTCGGCAAAGTTCCCCATTCCTGTACCACCAGTCAGCCTATAGTAATTCCAACCACCCGATATCCCGAGCACGATCCTTTGTTAGAAAGCCCCGGGAATCATCGACCACCTAGTCCTGCGTAAGTTGCAAATATATATTTTTTGACAATTTTTATTTTTCTATCAATTTTAATTTTTTGAATAATATTATTTGTTATATAATATAAATCATAATAAATAAATAATTATTTTATAATATATGTGTATCATAATTTATACTAGTATGTGTTTTAATCTGCCATAATAATGAACAAATAACGTCGGCTTATGATTAATTAAATCATGAATCAATAAATGGTGAATATTAAATAAGATATGTATAATTAAAACTAACATGTGTACTCGCGATAAATGTCGCGCAAATTCTTTCCATTTTAAATTTCAACACACAATGTCTAACTACTGAATCAAAAATTAATTAATCTACGGCAAGAATTTTAAATGAATTAAATTTGTCTTTCACTCTTTAAGAATTTATTCATTCTTAACATATCCAATCGATTTTTCAATTAAAATTAAGGAGTAGCACAAACGAATGGAGACATCGAAGTGGCGTTCACACAGTTTCGGCGGCCACCGCCGCCATGGTGGAGGAAAAGGCAAGAGTCGTCCTCGCCAGGAGCGAGCGAGCCGCGCTCTCTCAACTTCTGGCGGACTACAGGACGAGAAGGCTGACGATAGAGGACCTGGTCGCCAGCTTAGCCGATTTGCTCAACACCCATGAAAAACTAACACTATTGACAGAGCTTAGGGAGCTCGTCGACAACAAGGATAGAGCGGCCTTCGACGACCTCGTCTATCGACCCCGAATAGCGATGGCCAGGGTAAGCTTTAATAATTTCTAAAGATAATTTTGTAACTCAAAAGTTTTAAGAATATTCGGAAAAAGAATTATTAGATTTTGCAAAGTTACATAGAGAATATATGTCTGAAAATTCTAATTTTAGAATTTTGGCATCAAATTTAAGTGAATTATATAGTATACTACATATATACTATGTTGTACAAATATTTTCTCTCTTTTTACATATGATAATATGTACATTTATTAAAATTTATTTTTAAAACATACACGCGCGTTTCAGAAATTTATATATTATTTTTATTAATGCATAATGAACATACATTTAAATTTATGATTCTAAAGTTCTTTAGCATTCTGAAATTAATAAATTCAAATTTTAAATAGAAGCGTGAAAAGACTATTGAGAAAATACAATATAAAAATATATTTTTTAATAAATTTTTACTTGAGATAGAGAGAGAGAGAAAGAGAGAGAGAGAAAGGATTTTAAATAATGTACATATTTATCTTTAAAATATATAAATGACTAAACTATAAAATTATACAATCACTTTGAAAATATCAATTAACTTCTTTGACGAATTTGGGAATATTTTTTACGAAGATAATAGCGATAAATCTTAAAAATTTTATATATAATCTAACTTAAATTAATTAGCTTATAATTTAACGCCATTTTATTGAAACGTACGATTAGATAAACAATGTTTTTTTAAAAAAAAATCGAAAGTATCCAAGATAATTTTTTAAAACGGAGCTTTTTATTTTTCTTTCTTTTTTAGAGAAAAGGCGACCGCGCTCACTCGGATTTGATAGTCACTCCCTCGCTGCACGATCTTCCGGTAAGTTGAATCCTTACAACACTTTATTTATATCCCTCAAGCTTACAAAGGACACTGACACATTTACACGCATTTGATTCTGCGGATCACACGCGCGTTTGCGCGCATTGTTACGTATACGAGCACAGAGACAACACGTAGACGGTTTTATTATTCTAATCTATCTACGATACGATGATGCATAGAGTATCGACTTTTTCTCTCTTTTTTCCCTCACTTACTGTTCTATGGATCTCTGTTCACCTTAATTGTTAAGACGTTAAGAGAATCGCTTTGCATTCCCACCCTTTTTGTCGACGGACTTTCACGTGGAAAGCACAAGGAAATATTTCCCGAAAGTCTCTCGCCATGCACGCGTTCTTAATCCAGATTAATTGCGCCATATTAGAAAAATGATCGTCTCGCCGAGAACGAACGAAATTGTGCGAAATAAAGGGAGGTCAAAAGTCAGTCTCAAGAGAAATATTTAACGTTGATTCTTATTTTGTAACAAAAGCGCCGCAATCCATAATAGCCTGCAGAATGATAACTCAGAATAATTTTCATTTTTCTAAACAAAAAATATAATTTATTTGAATATTATATATTCGTTACCTCATTTTTTGATAAAAAATATTTATAAGACATAAATTCGAAAAAAATTATTTCACGTATAAATTAAAAAAGAAATTATAATAAAAATTATTGTAATGTATATAAATTTATATTTTTTTCTAATATAGGTCGTTGACAAAATAATTTAATATTCTGATAAATTTTACAAAAGTTATAATAATTCTTATACATGCAACAAATTGCGGCGAAATAACGAGAAAGACTTTCAACATAAACTGACACAAAGTACGAAAGATTCTTAAAGAAGTTTAACATAAGTAGTAAGTATTAAAATAAATATTCGGCAATGAATTATCGTTCGTTATCGGTGACCGACACAAATGCGACTGGCAGTTGGAGAAAAATGGAAATCCGCGATCGAGTATCGATTGGAGAGGTGCGAGGAAGCGGAGAATACGCCACGCAAACAGGGAGACGCTCTCTCAGAGAGAATGGAAGATCTCTTGGCAGAGAATTCGTGTTAATCTTCCGAAGATCGTTCGCAAAAGAATCCTTCACGTCGCTCTCGATCGAAAGAAAGAGTATCGATCGTCATCGAACGATCGATTCTGATTCCGCGTTCGATCGTTCCGGTCTGTCGTTATCTTCTTTCCTGGACAAAGCATGACTCGTCTGTCAGGCAAATGACTTGCAATCCCTTCGTCTCTTTCTCACTATCTCTTTCCTTCTCTTTCTCTCCGAGGATAACAGCTGCTTGACGACAATGAATAAAAAACTCTCTTGTTCAAGGAAATATCAAGTTTGTTGCATAAGCGACATGCCAACAATCAACTCTGTTTGATTTCTATTATGCTGCACAATATAATCCTGATAAATCGTCTAATGTCGCATTTTATGAAAACTATCGATTTTTTAAAGATCTAAGATATTTTTTACATTTTTTTTAGAGAAGCAAAAATATACAAGTACTCTCTAGTTTTTTTAGCAGGCTTTAACTTTGGGATAATAACACGAAAAATGCAGAGAATAATCATGCTGCTCGAGTTAATATGCATCCATTCTTTTTTCATATCCTATTTTTTCTCCTCGTTTTATTTAATTTATAAAAAGCAAACGCTGCTCATTTATTATCCATACTTCGTATAATTTCCTACATTCTTAATAATAAGATAAGTTAGTAGTGAATCGATTAATAATTCGGTGCGTACTAATTAAATACACTATTTATTTGTAGTCGATGCGACATTTATCCAAACGAATTTTGTTCGTCCAAACGCAGCTTTTTTTCTCGGCCTGTCTTTCTCTTCTTTTCTCTTTCTCTAGAATTATGCGCATTCTCTACTTCTATTTTCTACAACTTTCTTCTTCTTCTTCTTTTCTCGATTCTTATTCACCGCTAGCGCTATTTCTATTATATTTTTAGTCTTGCTTATAAACTGCGCTATCTTGCTCCCTGCGATTAATCAGCGTTTGTCGGTAAAAATTATCGATTCCTTCGACGTTGATCTTAATCATCTATTTTCTTTTTCATGTGATTGAAAAAAAAGATATATTTAATTAACATATCTTATAATCGGAGGAATCGATAGCGAATAACGAGAAACGAACACATCAGGTGTGATGTTGCATAATTATAGTTAGAAATTATATATAAGCATAAAAATATAATATTATATATTGCACAGTGCGCTCTTATACTGCATATAACACACGACACTTGAATTATAATTATAATTATGCTTTAATAATAATTTTACTACATTTTATATATGACTGCTGCTCTCTCTTTGCTGCAATTAAAACGAAGGTCTCTAATTAAAATTTTTCATTATAAAAAGACGCTCTCTTGCACATGCATTCTTTCCCTTCTCATTGTTAGTCGGATACGATCTGTTAGTTGCCTGCTGTTAAAAACGGATAAGTAGAAAACTGCTGTGCTCGCCATCTTCCTCCCTCCTTTTCTCACTAGAAGCAGCATTACGGGAAACATACGTTTCGTATTTCGCGATCTCGTGAAAAATTAAGCCAAGCGATCATGAATTGCGAGAATTAAAGGCCGTTTTTTTTCGGAAAATATAACGCTTCGCACGAGTATTATCTGCAAAATATTATATGCGATTGTTCGTTCGAGTAATCGACGCTCGATTTACGACTCACTACCGACCTGAAAAAGACTACGAATCGTTTAGATCACTTCCTGTCCTCTCACAAAATTGATAATATCTTCGGGAAGACGTCAGCAGATCTCGGTAAAGAGCGTCGTAAATCAAGTGTCAGCTGCACACATGGAGACATATGTTACTGGGCGACGTGCGACACGTCGATCGATGATGGATTATTGTTCTATTGCTAATTTCGTCGATAATTTCCTCGAAAACCACAATGAATAATATATCAGATCGGCATGATTCGATCAATTAATGCCCGAAGTTATTAAACTATATAAAGTTTTGATATATTTTCTCTAGACGAATGAGAAAACTCGAAATGAGCGAGCAATATTTGTACATCATATTATACACTTAATTTACGAGTTAATTTCTTTATTACATTATTATTACAATAACTTTTAATTTTTGTTATATCTATGTCACATATTTAATAATTTAAATAAATGTCGTTTATTATACTAATTTTATTTTTATTCTTACATATCCTTATATATTTTAATCAAACTTTCGAATTATTTTTTCCTATCGTAATTGTATTAACTTATCACTTTAAAGATATAAAAAGAAAAATACAGGAAAATAAAAATAATATTCACCAACGAGTTGTTAACGAAATTGCGGATTCATCGATAAAGATCAGAAAGCCGCGGAAACGTGACACATTTCCCTATATCATCCAACCAGTGCGCCGATAAAATCATCGATCGGTCGGTCGCCCCTCGTTCGAAATGAGAAAAAAAAGAAAGAAAAAAGCAATCTCCTTTTTTACGCGATAAGGGAAAGGGCACACGGCATGACAGGACATCTGATTTCTCACAGAGGGGTGTGCCCGGTGGTTGTTGCCGTCCGGGACGACTGGTGGACGTCGAAGGAGATCCCCTAGGAGTGACGGGCCCTCTTCTACCGCGGGATAACCAGGAGTATAGATCGCCAAGCGAGGACAGCGGTCTCGGGGCCGACATGCCCAGGACCAGGTCGACCGCATGATCTCTTTAACGTCAGAAGGACAGCGATCCGCCATTTTATTAATCAGCGTCGTGATCTTCGCGTGTCGGGAAAGATCGTAATTCCAAGTTATCGCAAGTCCGGGTTCGGTAAGAGAAATTCTTCGTAACTGTCAAGAAAATTGCGAGATGGCGAGATACTGACTGAAAAATGGCGGTAGCGGTCCTTCCAGCGTTAATTTTTCCCAATTTTTCCCCCCTTTTAATTTTTCGCGTCAAAATCACTCCGTCTTTTGCCGTTTGAGTTCGCACGCGAGCAGCTTATTAACAAGAGCCACGTCGACTCTTTTGCAATCACTCTTTCATCTGAATAAATACAAATTTATTGAGTACAACTGCTTACATATTTTATACGGGATGTCTGTCAAATCTGTGCTTTTCAAGTAACGAAATTTATTGAAACAGAAAATGATTAAAACTTCAATTCATGATAAAAATATTAAAATTAAATTATTTTTCAACAAAAGATAAATATCAGACTTTATTTTAATAATATTTAATGGGAAGTATTATAAGTAGCAAATTAAAGAGTATTTGCATATGATTGTAAGACATCCTGTATAGCAATAATTCACTTTTTGAGAAGGTCACGCGACGTTTCTGCGTAGCGGCCAAAAAGTTGACAAACTGATTACATTTCGTTTCGTTTGGCGAACAGTTTACGCTCGCGAAAGAATTGTAGATTCGCGAACAAAATTCGAGCGAAAGGATCGCAGGTTGGCTAAAAAAAATCTCAAGGCTTCCGCAAACAGGGAAGGATTAATATAATGGCGTTTCTCTGTAGGATACGCGATACATTGATACTTCATTTCCTGCTGTACATCGTTCCTGTTTTCTCATTCCTCCCTCTCTCTACATCCCAGCTCTCGCTCCTCCGAGATCAGCATCCCAACCCCCTCTCTTTAGCACTCTCGAACCAGTAGCTGAGAACCCAGGTATGTAAACAGACAGACTGGATACGTACAGGGCACTTCAGCAATAGTTCAATGCACCTCACCTTCACTAGTCATCGAGACGCTAAAATAACTGTCACTTTTGCTTTTGACAAAGTCAGAAGCAATGCTAGTCATTTTTCACTACTATTGATTGATTTATAATAACAAAATTAAAATGAGCTTATTTCCAAAAAAAATCGTCTTAATCGATATTTCTAAAAAATGATAATTATGTGTTATGCAGAACTATACATGTTAGAAGAAACTAATAAAAGTCACATAATTTCCATTTTTTAAGAATATATTTTTAAGATGATTTGTGAAAGTTCTGCAATTCAATCGCGAAATTTAATTTCGCAGTAGACGTCGAAATAAATCATTTTTTATGTCTATCGTTAAACCGTCTCGCGTTTAAACCGTCTTTGTTGATCGAAATATTTTTCGCTCCTTTTATATACGTTGCAAATTATATATTTTATAGGACATAATGTGTCACATTAATTAATTTCCATAAAAAATTATCATATAATTTTGAAACTTTAGTTAACATTATTGTGCAATATTTAATTCTTTCACTTGGTGAGAGAGAGAAAAAAAATCGCCTTGCAAGTTTATTAAAACGCGTTTGCGTTATTTAAGAGTTTATTTTAGAATTTATTAACAAATAATAGAATAAAATATAAATATGCTTTACTATTAGTCTTGTAACTAATCTTGTAACTATTCACACGATAAGAAACTTTAGAGAACTAACATATTGAGGGTGTTATTTTGCTCAAATCCGTGAAACGAACGCGAAGGCCGAATCACTGCAAAGGTGATCTTTTCCACGTGGCGGTGCGTGGGAAGGAAATCGATAATTGAGGTGGATTTAGTCGCGAGTACACGACAGTTTTCACTTGTTCTCATTTCCTCTCGCGATATGCGTTCGCGTCGCGACGATAGGCTTTCGTTTTCATTGAAGGAAACGACTATTGCGCTAGCAAATGTGAAAACGTCCCACAATTATTATTAACAGAAGAGAAGAAGAAGAATATATTTATCACTTCAATTAATATACATAAATGAAATATTAATTAATCTCAATGAAAGATCTTTCCATCCAAGGAATGTTATTGAAACAGAAGACGTTTGATATTTATTATTGCAACTACTATTAAGCAAGTAAAAATAATTCGCATTGATCAAAAACATTCTTTCTACTTGATCAATTACTAATATAGATAAAGAGATGAAATAATTAACAGAAAAAAAAATTTAATAAAGATTTGATTTTTTATCATTATTCATGATCATCATTAATAAGTAAAATAAATAAATTAATAAATAAAATATTAATAAATAAAATATTCATTATAATTATTATTACCTGAATAATATAAAATAATGAGAAATAAAAAATCTTTAATAGTATAATTTCATATTATATGTAAATTTTAATTTTTAATTTATTATACTTAATATAATAATAAAAATTACGCACAACATTTCAAAATCAAAATATCAAAGATGTATAAAAATATTTGAAAATTTTCATTAAATATTATTCACATGTTTAAGTGAAAAATCGTATTTTCTTTAATATATATAATTATACAATTAGATAATTTCATAGATTTCTCCTCTATTTCCTTGTTGCGTAAATGAAAATCGAAATGCACGAAAAATTCGAGCGTATTCATATTTCTGTTACGATTCTTTTCTATTACGTTATTCTTGAAATCGCGACGATTTTCTCCACACGAAATCTGCATTGAATTGTATGAAAGTAAATTTTGCGAAATCGATAGCAAACGTGGTGGCCGACGAGATATGATTCCGAATGGCGCGCGAAAGATGAAATTCCGTGCACAGGCTTTCATAGCTTTCAGTTAGTTCACTCGCTTCGATAACGGATGGAACAGAAAGCGAGAATGTACCGCTTTTGATCCTGTGCATCTCTCTGATTTCAATATATTCCTATATGTCTTTGTGTCTACCGATTTAATCTCTTTCCCCTTCAATTTCTGTATCTTTTGTCGCGCGAGCCAACGGACACTGAGAACTTTCATTCCGAGATAAAAACCGAATCTTTCGATTTCAAGAGAAACTTTATATTTAAAAAAAAATTACATTTTTTATACATTTTTTATACATTTCAATAAAATTTTGCGTCAGTTAAAAACATTAAGAATAATTGAATGAAAAAAGATTTTATGATTGATAATTAAATATATTAAATTTTTCATTAAAATTTTAAATTTGAATACGTGCTTGATTTTTATTCAAATTTTTAAAAATAAATGCAATTACATTTATTAAAATATATTGATTAGTAATAATATTTTATAATAAAAAATTTGTATTTGTTTATCATTGAATTCGATCGATACTGTTATTATTTATATATATATGTATATTTAACGAAGTTAATAAACGAGTTAAAATTTCTTTAATAGAATTTTTGACAGAATTTTTATAAAAGTTTTTCTCTTTAATTTTCTCTTGTTTAAAATAAACGAACTGAATTAATTCGCATTTATAACACTTAATATACGAAAATACTTAGATTTCCAGGATTGTCAGAATCATTGAGTTCCAAAATGTTGTGTGCAAAAAGTTCAGTTTATTCGCGAAAAGTTTGTATAAAAGTTCATTACACAGCACGATAAAAATAGACACGCGATATTTTACATATGATATTCTTCCGCACTAATTAAGACGCGAAACGGGATATATCAATCAAAAACGGATAAAAATCGGATTTGGGTTACCTTCCCTTTCAGGATAAACTTTTCAGGTACTGAACTCTCTCACCAATATCAAGGTATATTCAATGGGAGGGTTTATTATATAATATTTTTGTATATATATCATTTATAATTTATAATTAAGAGATTATATTTATATTGCATTTTTTTTCTTGACAAAGATGCAATATAAATTTGCTCCAAAAAACATAACCAACGAGTAAGTCAACTGCTGCAAAATACTTTTTTAATTATAAAAAAATAAATTATATATTATAAAATAAATAAATAATTTATGAAATATATTGTAAAATTATATATAAAGAATATTTAATATTAAATGCCGAATGTTTTATGCAAAGAATCAAAAATTGATTATTAATCGCGATGAGATGTATTCGAATTCAAGAAAATATATACAAAAAAAATTATGTAGTGTATTAAAATTAAATAGTGCGCATATAAAAAAAAGTAATTAAAAAATCTATGCAACCTGCGATTTGAAATCAATCGTGCTGAACGACCGCAATAAAACGTTTATTCCAGCGATGACGTGATTCAAAAACAAACTGTATTAATCGCGGCTACAAAAATTATAGCTTGTAGATGGCGTCTCGTAACCTTCATGTATTCCATACCGCTTTCTATTTTTTCTGGATGAGAATCCGCTTGTACTTTATTAAGCCATCATCGAAAGCGAGTCAATGTTTGTCGTTGGTCAAACATCGACTAATCATTTATCAAAAGTTGTATCGCTTCTCAAGCCATGTCGTTATGCAGCTTTATTTCCGTGACTTTGAAATGAAAGTTTCAATATATCTGAATAGATTTAAGTATGTATATCTCTAAAAAAGAAATTGACGACTTAGATACGTTCGTTGAGTAATTTAGAATAAATAGTGCATTATCGGTGCTCCAAAAATGGAACTATGCTATCCTGTGGAGCTGCGCTTATTCTAAACTTTAGCGATGTCATCTTTCAAAAAGAAATGCTTTCCTTATAAAATATATAATACTCGAGACGAAGGGTTGGTTGGTTCGTGATGGAACTATCTAGGACTACTAAGCCCGCTTTGCGAGCACCTCCTTGAGTACAAAAATTTGAAGTGACTTTCTAAATTAGCCGTCAGCTCTTTCAACAAATCGCAAATTAGTTCCAAAATTCGCGAATCTCGCAAACTTTTAGCCACTTCCATTCGATCACCTCCCCTTTGTTTCCAATCGGGGCGATTAATCTTCGTCTGAGGAATCGTCCCGATGACATCGATAAGCGATAATAGATGAGGCGCGCGATTGATACGAGCGGTCGCGGGGCGGGCGGTTCTGAAATGAAAATTTTGCCAATTGCAGAGTGAGCTGCAGGAGGGCACAGCAGCACCAAGTGACGACCTCCGATCTCGCCCTCTCCAACGATGACGAGTGCGACAATCAGGTACTGCGGGCGTATTCTTTACGAACTATCACGCTACGGTGTCCTTGTAAATTAAAGATCAAAGCAGAAGTCGGGCAAAAATTTGGAAATAAAATAAAGATGACACAAAGAAATAATAGAAATAATTACGAAGAAACTTTTTAAATTTGAATGAAATGTTAAATGGATTTTTTAGACGTTAGCATAACGTCGATATTTTCACGTAATTTTATCTAATTATAAATTTAATTTTAATTTAATTTTTATAAAGATAGAAATTATTAAAATTGATAAAAGTTATGAAATTGCGATAGGAACACCGTATACATGAAAGGATTTGAAAGGATACGCCTAGAAAGTCGGAAATCGCGATTTTTTTGTCCCCGATGAAAAGTCATATTCGTAGAAAAAAAAAGCTTTCTGGCGATCAAACGATATAAGAGAGAAACATGATTGTTCTTTTTTCCAGGACTATGACGACGAGATTGAGAATGGACGAGGTCGCAGGCACAGCTCTCCGGGCGGGTCGCGAGGTAATCCCCGGGATTACGGCCATCACCTGCATCCAGACAATTTGGTGAGTTCACCAGCACAAACTCGATCATCGAACGTGACACTTTGAAACATCCCCTGTATTTTCCCCAGCTATTAAAAAATTCCGATCGTGCACTGTAAACAATTTGCTTGTAGTTCAACTCCTTGAATATATAATTTATTGTATTATAATATTTGTATTTAAAATAAATACAAATTTTTGCAATAAAAATTGGAATTTAATATGCACAAATTTGAATTTAAGAGAAATTAAAATATAAATTAAAAACACGAGATATATATTTATTTAAATCTCTGCAATCTAATCTTTAAGTTTTGTATTAAAAATATATTAAGATTATTTAAAACTTGGATATATATTTTATGTACAAATATTATAAATTTACTTCAGATTAGTATCTTTCATAACTCCATATTTTAATAATACATTTAAGCGGCTTTTTTGTATATACGTATTTTAACTTTTAATGATTTATTTGAAATCTATTTTATTGCTATTTTGCTCCTCGAAACGATCGGAATATTTTTAGCGGCTGTAGATTTTCATTCCAAGATTTATCGCGCATAATGCTATAGTTTTATCATAAAATAACAAGAGAGCCAAAAAAGAAATTAGCTCATTCCCTCTTAACATGTAGTGTATTCTAGAAGATAGAAGATTTTCTCTTATAAAATTAGATAAGCAATCCACAGCGATAATTTCTCAGGAAGAAAAACTCGAGAATAATCTAATAATTCAAATTGTTGTCCTACTTACGTTCACTTATATTTAATGCCTTATAAATTGACCAGGAAATAGATAATTATATAAACAAAGTAATAATTATATAAACATAGTGTTTACAGAACAGTTAAGTATCGCGTGTTGTAGGCAACAAGTAAATCTTATCTAATAATGCTAGAAAATAATGCTTGTTTACGATACACAAAAACGTCATAAACAAACGTTGATTCAAAGAAATTCTGTAAAATATAAATATAAAACATAACATCTTACAAATTTTATACACATATATAAGTTTTATAATACGTTTCAAATTCAAATTTTGCATTAAATATGCGACATACATTAGTTAATAAATATAGAAGCTAATTATTATAAAAATAAAAATGAAAAAGATTGTAATAAATAAAAAATAATACAAAGATATACATACAACATAATATATAATATATGTACAAAGAGGGTTAATAAGGGTTCAGCGCAGAAAACAGAGCATGAATAAAAAAAGAAGAATTTTCATAAAAAATTTTTTTACTCGCGCTATTTTCTGCCCTTGGGTTTCATTATTAACTCGTTTTTTTCGTGTTGTATATTAACTACTATATTAAATAATGATTTCAATTATTAAGCAATTCTAAAAATACAATACTTTTGTTTGTTTCAAGAATTTCAAATTTCGGAAAAAATTCATATATGTATTATTTTTTTATATAAATTTTTTTTAGCTCACTCGATGAATTCAATATGTAATTTAATTTCTCTAATTTCTGCCCGTGTGTGAATAGATAAATGAAAATCCGACAGCACACGTGCGAAATCGGATTTCCTCCAAGCGGCCTCATTTAAATTCGCGTGCAACGCGCTCGCGCAACGTCCTGCAATACGGCGTTAATTTAAGCGCTTAATTTATGCACGTCGGCTCAAGTACAGTTATTTACGCGCGTACATAATACAAGGTACATTATAATATTTTAAGAATGGATTTTTTGAGCGAAATTAAAGGTAATTTTTTATCAGAAAATGTCGAAATAAATACAAGGTTCACTCTCTCTCAAATTGGACTCTTTAAAGATAATAAGTAATAATAATTTATTCCTTTTAAATGGATCTTAACAGATCTTTACAGATCTTAACAGATCTTTATATTATAAGATTCGTAAAAGATTGCAATTAATTAAATTTTTGCCATTGCAAAAGAATTTAAAATTTGTCAAATTATATTAATTATAAACTTGTTTCTGTGGGATCTTCCATATATATTTTTTTAATTTTTTATATTTGCAATATATTTTTCATTATTTCGCGATATCTAGTTGTTGAAAAATAGAACCGCTTTCTATATTTTACGCTGACATATTCGCGTTCTGATTTTCCATAATCGCTTTTATTATGTATTTTTATTTATAGATTATTTCTTTTAATTTTTTTTAATCTTTGCATTTTGTTCTTATTTAAACAATCTATTTAAATATAATAAAAGTTATAAAGATACTTCGTATTTGTTTTGTGTCAACTGATGCAGCTGTAAATTTTCCGTAATAAGTCCCTGAGAGACAATCGCATGATCGCGCCAATATCGCCATAATGTCGTTATAGACAGTAGGTTCAAAATAGTAGATTAACTCGCCTAATCGTGGTATAAAATGATCATTATGTAATAGTAACTCATATGGAACATAATTTGAATCTGTCACGCAGAATTTATCTGACGATTATATTTCTTCGCGTTTTATTTCGACGATTTAAATATTTAATTTGATGACGATGACTGTTGTTAACTTAATGGCAATGAAGAAAAAGGTAAAAATTATCTTTCATTTAGGAAAGAGATCATATTGTTTTAAAAAAAAATTTATTCGTATAAAAAATTAAAAATCGAGAAAACAAAAATGATAGAAAACAAAAACTTTAAAGTTATCTCACAAAAACTTTAAAGTACTCAAACATCACAACTTCGAAAACCAATATTTGGCATCCTATTCGAGGATTTGTCGAATCTCATTTTACTCAATTTTCCTTTCTCCATTTTTAACATTTTCGATCTTTTAAAGCTTAAAAAATTATTTGAAAACTTTTTAAGAAGTGTAAAAGAAATATCATGAAAGAGTCGTTATATCTTATAAGGATTGGGATCCATCAGACTTCAGTGTGTGATGTTACGAAATTTATAACACGCAAAAAGAGATCGCGGAGATAATTATAGCGAATTTACAATGTATGAAGAGGTTTGATCATCCAGATAGAAGAATGCGGGATAATCGAAACAGATGCATCGGTACGAAACAAACCAATAAAAGATCAGCTCGGTCAGCCACAGTATTATCAACGTCACTGACGTGAGATAGCTTCAAATAAGATAGCTGTGAAAAGTGCCCACAATCGTTTTGTTCTCCTGGAGAATAACATCTTCTACCGACTATTACGTCTTTCGTTGGAAAAAATACGAATTGCCTTCTCGCAGGCAGGTGCGTAAAATAATAAAGAAACCGCGATTCTCTTTACAAGGGACTATAACTACGTCTGCTTCGCTGAAATTCTCCGACAGAATCACGATAGTAAGAAAATGCTAATTATTGGAATTTCTTTTTCGAATTTGAAAAAGTTTTCAACCTATTTTGCAAATATTATTTGTCTCTAGATAATTAATAACATTCGCGAATTATAATAATTGCCAATATTAATGTTGCACATTTGTCAATATTAATTTTAGACAATATATTGATAATAATAATTTTGTTAATTAATTTTAATTTGTGTTAATATGCTTATTGACTAATTAATTTTAATCTGCTCGTGACTTTTAATATATATATATTGAAAATATTAATTTCTAAAACAATAAAAATATTAATTTACATAGAAATTTTTATTTTTATACTTATCATATAATTCCATAACAGTTTGGAAAAGTTTAATTATCACTTTAAATAGCATATCAAACATGTATAATTAAATATCTCTATAGAGAAACTCGATTCGCGTAATACATATATATCTTACAAAAAAATTGCAATTATCTCATCATTATTTTTCTCAGTACGGCTACAGTATCGTGCAGAGAGAGAGAAAAAAAGTGCAAATACGTTGCACGCGAGAAGTAAAGGCGATATGCAATTGAGATAATCGAGAGAATAACTTGCAGTATGAGATGGACGATCGTGTTTGAAAAGAATCAGAAACCGATGCCGAGGTCGGCTCGATATAATTAAGATAATAGTGACGAGTTTCGTAGCCGTATTCGAGGTCGTTATCCCGATTAGATGCCATCTTCGAGAATTTATATTTGCAGATATCTACATATATTTATTTGAACGGTTCATAATAATTGTCTGTAATATAACGAAGATATAATAGAAGATATAAATATATACAGAAAATTTTTTTATATTACTAAAATATATATTATATTCTGTATATATTTATTTTAGAAGAAGATTTAAAAAATAGATTTATTAATATTTTATCCAAAACTTTTTTCAAATTTTACTTGTACACACTTATTACAATTAATTGCTTCTCAATCAATTATGATAAATATATATATTCTCTATATTAAACAATAAAAATATATTAAAAAAACTATACATATAAAATGTTTTAAATTTAAATTTAAAAATTTATATCAAAACTATAAAAATATGCAAGTAATATACATATATCTATTTATAAATCATATAGTATCATTAATTATTGTATATTCATATAGATAAAAGAATTTAATAGTTTCAAATAGATTTTTATTATTCTTCATTCTTAAGAAATTTATAAAAATATTTAATATGTTATAAAAGAAATTATTTTTAAACACTGTATAAGAAAACGCATCGTGCACGTCATATCAAAATAGCATTCGATGAAATGCGGCTCTCGAGGAATTTAAAGACTTCAACATAGAACGAGTAACCGAGCAAAAACCGCCTCAAAGGGTTAATCAACGTACCAGAGAGAAATTATAAATCGTTATCGGAAACTCCGTCAAAAAATCGCATCGCGGAGTTAATCACAGAGCAATGCACAATATACGGGGTGTTCTAGAAATCTAAATTATTTTTTACCTTGTTTAATTATAAAATAAATTTGAAATAAAATTGTTTTCTTAACGTACCAGATTATTTTATACATAGATATTTTTTAAGTTTTTAATTTTAAATATATCGATAAATAATTAACCTTTAGATTTTCCAGTTTTTAATTTATTAATTTATTAAGTTAATTATAAAAATGTAAAATTACAATTAATTCTTTAAATAGCATTTATAAATTTATATAAAAAAGATCACAAAAGAAATATTTCTTTA